GAAGAGTCACCACCTGAGAGCGAAAAGATGCAGACAAAACCTTGGGAACATATCCTGGTCTAGGCTGTAAGGTTACTTTAACCAGACCCGGGGGGAAGTCCATACACACCTCGCTGACCGAGAGAGCTTGCAAATCCCCAACTCGTTTTAACAAAGTTAGAGCCAACAAAAAAACAACCTTGAGAGTCAAAATCCATTCTGGAGCTGACTCCAAGAGGGGGTCCCGCCACATTGAAAGTGTGCGAAAGCAACTGCGCGACACTCTTACTAGGCGAGAGGCTGGTCCTGTCGAGCGGATCCCTATGAGTTTCCTCCACCAAAGGAACGGCCTCATATGAAGCAGCCCCAGGGGCAGCACAGGGGAGGCTGCAGCCATGAGGCCCAAGAGCCTGCGACAAGTGCTTACAGAAACATGATGGCCTTGCTTGAAGCGGGCCATGCATGCGTTTAGGCTGGAAATCTGGGCAGGAGCCAAACGGGCCTGCATCTGAATGGAATCCAAGTGAACCCCCAAGAAAACCGTCTGTTGAGAGGGGGTGAGAACACTCTTCTTGGCGTTCATTCTGAGGCTAAGAGACCGCATGTGGCGAAGGAGGACATCCCTGTGGTGTCGAAGTTAACGAAGTTAGCGCCAACAAAAAAACAACCTTGAGAGACAGAATCCGTTCTGGAGCTGACTCCAAGGGCTCAAAAGGAGCTTCCATTAAGCCCTCCAAGAAGGAACTCCCAAGGGGGGCGTGCTGGTCTCAGACGCCGAACTCCACGCATAAACACTGAGACCAACCGAAGTCTCCCCAGGGGAATGTCATCCAACTCTCTCCGTGTGGCGATGGCTGCAACATAAACTCTCAGGGTAGTAGCCGCCGCCCCTGCCACAAGTTTCTCTTGTAGGAACTCCAGTACTGAACCTATAGGGCAGCTGACTGGGTCCACAGCATGAGTTAAGCACGACTCAAAAACCTTCCACTTGGAAGAATACAGCCTCCTCGTGGAAAGAGCTCTGGCACTAGCAATAGTCTACAGAAACATGATGGCCTAGCTTGAAGCGGGCCATGCATGCGTTTAGGCTGGAAATCTGGGCAGGAGCCAAACGGGCCTGCATCTGAACGGAATCCAAGTGAACCCCCAAGAAAACCATCTGTTGAGAGGGGGTGAGAAAACTCTTCTTGGCATTCATTCTGAGGCCAAGAGACCGCATGTGGCGAAGGAGGATAATAGCGACTGAAAAAGCTGCGTTCCACTTCCACTGGAGGAACCTCCTCTATCGCCCCCTTGAGGAGAAGGGAAGGTAGTTCCTGCTGTAGCACAGAAGCCTCTGAGGTGCTGCCCACTACAGTCAGGTGAACCCCGTCAAAGCGAGGGGGGTTGCGACCGAATTGAAGTGTGTAACCGAACTGAACTGTGCAAAGAACCCAGGGCGATGCCCCTGGTAGATGCTTCCATTCGTGAAAGAATTGCGATAGAGGAAGCAGAGTGTTGCAGTCTGTTTGAGGACATACCTGTGTTGGGGTTTTGCCGACATGGTCCGGAGGGGGAGACATCGTCAACCACGAAGGAGGGCCCTTGGCGTCCTGACACGGGAAGAGGGAGTCTACAGGAACCAATGCAGCTGGTACAACGCACGTGTCTCCTATAACGTGAGCAGCAGGTGACAAAGGAACAGATGGTAGGGGGAGAAAGCCTGGTGCATCTCCCATCCCCCATGTCGAAAGAGAGAGAGGTCGAATGGTTGCTGCACACCGAAACGTTCTGGGTGGCGTATTCGACAGAACTGAATGAGGGGAGCATTTTAGAAGCGGGCAGAAAGTTTTGCACGGTCTGGCCCAGCCTCGTAGGGCGGGGGAAGCTCCCCTCTTCCTGACACGAGAGTCAGGAGCGACTTGATGAAGCTGAAGCAGCGGGTCTGTCAGACCGCTTCAGCTCAATCCGCCTGCGAGGTTGCCGGTGGGGCAATGGGCGGCCTCTGGCTCCCCAGACCGTGGGCGGTGGGGGACGACCCGGGTCGCTGCTCCTACTGGCGGTTTCCTTCCTGGGCAAGGAGTGCTCTCTGGGCCAGGAGGGATTAGGGGGCTCCCGTGCCTGAGGGCCGCTGACTGGGATTTGGCTGCACGGAATTTATCAACCACAGAGTTGACTGCCACCCCAAATAGCCCAGACTGAGAGATGGGGGCGTCAAGGAGAAAAACTTTCTCCTTCTCATGGATCTCTGTGAGATTAAGCCATAGAGCCGAACCAGGCATAGAGCGCCCTATAGCACGCGCGGTGTGCTTGGTGGCTCTCAGGGCCAAGTCTGTGGCTCTGCGGAGCTCCTTGACCGCCTCTTGGGTCAAACCGCCCCCTTCGTTCATCTCCTTAAGGACATCCGCTTGGTAGGCTTGGAGAATGGCCATAGTATGAAGGGCCATGCCTGCCTGACCAGCTGCCATGTAGGACTTTCCGATAAGGGCGGAAGTGGTCCTACATGGTTTAGTCAGAAGGAGGGGGCGGGACTTCCAGGAAGAAGCCGAAGATGGCGAGAGGTGCATAGCTAGCGTATCCTCGATCGTCGGGATGACGGTATAGCCCTGCTCCACAGAACCCACTAGGTTGGTGAAGTCAGCGGCTGCCGCATTAGTAAGGCAGGCGGAGAATGGCTGCTTCCAGGATCTGGAGATCTCCTGATGCAGATCGCTGAAAAAGGGCAGCTTTCTCCGTGCGGGCCTCGAATTTGGGCCGCTCAGGAACAGCTCGTCGGGTTTAGACGACTGGGAATCGCGGGGCTCGTTGGGCCAATCAATAGAGAGCTTCTCTGTGGCGCGCGCCAGCACGTCTACGAGCTCCGAGTAGGCCGCGGAGGGCCGCACTTCCTGGCCACTAGGTGGGAAAGCGTCGGCTGAAGCAGGCCCAAAATCCTCAGAGTCGGATGCCACAGTGTACAAAACGTCCTCTTGCCCGAAAGAAATCGCATCGCGCGCCTCTGGGCTAGGGCATAAATAATCATGCGCGAATTCAACTGGCGAATCTGCGCGCACATGCTCGGGAGAAAAAGGGCGAGGCCCGTCTGCTCGCTCTCCATCGCCTCGAGTTCCACATCCGAACCCCAGGTCGCGGATTCACGGAGGGCCTCTGCGGCCTCCGGAGCGCGATGGGAAAAGACAGATGATTCCTTCTCAAAAACCGCGAGCCTAGTGCGGAGGGTTTTGAGACGGAGGTTTTCACAAAATTTGCATTGAGAAACGTCGTGAACCGTCCCACGCGCGTGCAAAAAACCCAAACATTTAACACACTTACTGTGAGGGTCGTCGCTCGCAATGAAGCGAGAACACGCCGGCTGGCAACGACGATACTCCATGGCACTTCACCGCAAGGAGAACGGAGTTCCACTATAGCAGTCGCTGAAGTGCAAATGAAGAAAGCTGATGAAAAACAGTCCAAAATCGGGCCAGAAAAATCGCAACAGAAGGGCTAAAATGGCCACTTCGTGAAGGCAGAGAAATCTGAGGAGCAGATGGCGCGTTCGCCAGTATAAGGACAGCGACGCAAGAGCGTGGGGCGGCGCCCGCGCCATCAGCCAATGAATTGGCGTGATTCTATACAGGCTTCAGACAATCGGCACGCATAGAGGACGTTCCCAATGCGTCATAGCGACGCAGCGTTGAGTGAACCTATGAAAGAGAACAGTCGGTTATGTCTGTGAAAAACAGCTGGGAAATAAATCGCATGTTTATTTTAGATCTGTGTGGCAGCAGCAATATAGCCTACATTAAATAAATCAATACATCCACTGCTCTCGTCTCCTCTGAGGCTGGCATTCTAAATAGTGTTTTGTGCTCGTCTGTGCAGCCAAAGGCAGAACAGATAGCATGTTTTGCTCAAACTTTCGCCATGGCATTAGAACTAATACACCGTTGTCGCTTGCGAAAACACAATAACGGCGCCGTGGGTGTAAACTTACTGATTAAGGGGCGGTAATATTATATTGAGATCCCTTCGTCACGCCACCAAGGGAGCGAAATCAGACGCACTCGTTTTTTCAGACGCTTGCAGAAAAAGGCTTACCAAAACAAAGTTACTGGGTTAATCTTTTTCACATTTCCTTGGTTGGTAGATGCACTGGGGACCTGATTATAGCACTTAAACCCTGGAAAAGTCAGATTTTCATGATATGTCACCTTTAATGGCATCTTAAAACGCGGCGCCCATGCGCAAGACGCTGGAAAAACAGCTAACAGTTAGGTCTATCTAGTATACAGTATGTTTACACAGAAAACAGTAAAGTTGGAAGCGTTTGCTTTCTATGTGAACTGGCCATCAGTGGCAGCTGGTCGGGGGAGGCAGCGGGAGGCACAGCTTCCCCATAATTTTAGGGTGAAAATGGGAGGAGGACGATTTAAAGGGATAGTTCACCCAAGAATGAAAATTTTATGTTTATCTGCTTACCCCCAGGGCATCCAAGATGTAGGTGACTTTGTTTCTTCAGTAGAACACATTTGATGATTTTTAACTTTAACCGTTGCAGTCTATCAGTCGTATAATGCATGGCAATGGTAACAAAATCTATGAGAGTAAAAAAAACAGGCAGACAACTACGCCAGAGCGCGTACACACCTCACGCAGCGGAAGCCGTGCGCGCACCCAAAGACAGTTGGACATAGTGGTGCCATTGCCATGCATTATACGACTGATAGACTGCAACGGTTAAAGTTAAAAATCATCAAATGTGTTCTACTGAAGAAACAAAGTCACCTACATCTTGGATGCCCTGGGCAGGGCTCTACGCTTATTTTTCTTTTTAGGAGCGCTTGTGCTCCTAACTTAAAAATTTAGGAGGACGGTCAAAAATTTAGGAGCGCCAAAATTTGATAAAAAAATAGCCTTCCCATTACGAGGTGATATTTGACTCCTTAAGTGATTTACAGTAGAATTTAGTTTTTACCTTTGTAATGGCATTTTTCTATCTTTATTAAAAGTTTGTCATCTTTTATGTCAAATTTTTTTAAAATATATATTTTATAAGCTTTTTAAAATTTCTAGATAAAACCATATAATAAGAACAAGGAAAATAAGAAGAATAAGTTACTAATCAAATGAAATCAATTTAAAGTGGTTAAGCAAATAATAATAATAATCGGCAGGGATCCCATACTATTACGATTAGTGTGCCTCCTCTATTTTAAAACCCATGAGCCGCCACTGCTGGCCATAAGTGCTAAATACAGTTACGTTCACACACAGTTCAGTAATAAACAAGCGTGATACCACTAAATTTTCAGGACTCACAACCATATTTTCATTAACCCGTGGATTTATAACCCGTACTGGTTCATAATCACACAGCTTGTGCGCGCGTCTCATGTGTGATGCGTGTTTTAGTTCCGGAAACTTACAGATACGTATGTACATTATAAACTGTTTGTCATTCGAAGTTTTTAGATCCAGTCTTCCACTGGAGCTGTTCCCGTCCGCTTTGTGGTCCAGTTGCTGCACTTCAAACTCCTGCTTTCCGTTAAATCAAGATTTGTTAGGTAAACTCGAGCCGTTGTTATTGAGGTCGCCATCTTTGATATATACTTCAGTTACTGTCACCATGGTTACCGGTGATTTTCGCGGCTATTCCGAGAATGGAAAAGGGGCTGACGTTTATTTTTCAGCATTTTATAAAATTTTCTATTGCTGTAGAAATGTAATGAAAATGTACATGTAAACAAAGGCAGCACATTTTAATTACTTATGATTACGGTAATAGTGTGGTGCATGTCTTTATGTTTTAGGTAAATTGTTTAATATAGATTAGTTAATATGTTAATCAGTATCACACAAGAGTCACTCAAGACTGATGTTTCACTGAATATTAGCATAGCTATGTTTCAGCCATGGACACAAGGCCTCCAGCTATGGTGCTAATACAAGAAGTTTGTGTTATATTGACTACGATAAAAAGTATAAAATATAAGCAAGTGATTCATAATAAATATTTACATATAATTTGGATGTATTTACATTCTTTTATATTTATTAATATGAAAAAATAAACAGGAATTGACTTGACTTAAATGCATTTGGCTGAAGTAATAAAGTACAGTGACGTTAATCATTTTTACAAATTGATTTGCTTTTTCAACCAGTCATATTTTTAAAATTTCAAATGGTCCTCTATTTTCTTTTCTTTTAGACATTATTTCTTTGAGTGTTGATTGGAGACAAACAGAACAGTCACACTGCTTCTTCACAAATGGCACAGCACTACTACCCCCACCTCCACCTGCCGTAGCCATGGAAATGCCACCCAATCCAGAGCCTAGGAAATACAGGGAGGGCCCTCCTTCCAACTCTCTCACACACACGGCATGATTCAAACGAGTGAGGTAGATATTTACATGCATACATATCTACATTGTCACTGCTTTCACCCTTTGTCTCATTCACTGACACACTCACAAAAACACTGTGATGCTAACATGCTTATCACACTTCTCTCATTCTCTTTCTCTTAAATACATGGCTCACAAAAATTTCAGAAAGACCCATTAAGGTTTTGACTGCCATTTAACCAACATTGAAAATGTACCTTAAAATTGGTATTTCATTCAATTCAATTAGTATCAAACATGGAACATGTTTTTTAAATGACAAGAATGCCAGTGTATTTCAGTTTTTACAGATGTGTTGCATCTGGATCCTTTCCATCTAGGATCTAGGGCACTTCTTCCAGCCTCTGTAATATCTAATACTATATTTTCTTTCTCTCACCAGACTACACTCTGCAGTAACCATAGCCTTAGCAACCGTCAAAGCTATTATATGGACAGATGGTCATGGGTGAAGTGTGTAATATTTTTAGTGTTAAAACAATATCTCCTAGACAACTATAAGTTAGCCTTTTGTAGGCTGATTCCTCTGAAAAGTGTAAACACAGCAGAGCAGTTCTTAGTATAATCTTAGTATAATAATTGTGATGCTATTATAGTTTTTGTTAATATTTTGAATTAGATTTATTTTTATACATTCTATTTTCATTTTAGTTTTAGTTAAAGATTTGGTGATTTAGTGCATTTTTTAGCTTTTGGTTTTTTTAAATGCACATTTTTTTTAATTCATTTTTATTTCAGTTTTAGTTATTTTAGTACATCAAGTTAAACTAAATTAAAATGAGAAATGCTGTCTTGGCAAACAGCTGAAATAAAATAAGTTCAAGTTCAAGATTGGGGTAAGATTTGGGTCTGCAAGATGTTTTTGAAGGAACGCTCTTATGCTCACCAAGGCTACATTTATTTGATTAAAATTACAGTATAACAATTACAGTAAAACTAATATTATGGAATATTATTACAATTTAAAATAACTGTTTTCCGTTTTAATATATTTAAAAAATGTAATTATTCTTGTCATGGCAAAGTTGAATTTTCAACAGCCATTACTCAGTGTCACATGATTGTTTTGAAATTATTCCAATATGCTGATTTGGTGCTCAAGAATCATTTCTTATTATCAATGTTGAAAACAGTTGTGCTGCTTCCTATTTTTTGGACATTTTTTCAGGAAGATGAATAGAATGTTCAAAAGAACAGCATTTATTTGAAGTGTTTTGTAACATTAGAATTGTCTTCAGTGGCATTTTTATCAATTCATGCATACTTGACAAATAAAAGTACTCTGTTATAATCTAACTGAACCTAACATTTTAACGTGTGTGTGTGTGTGTGTGTGTGGTTTGTACATTAATAGATATTAAACAAAGCAAACACAGAAAGGATATATTATTTTACTTGTATTTACATTTGACAACTATTTTAATCAGTTCTTATATTTAGTATTTAAGTCAGCATCGGCAGATATCATAAATACTGTATATTACAAAGTTTACAACAGAAACGTTCAAAGCTGCTTAAAGTGGCATAAAGATTGTAATGCTTATTAAGAGCTACCATACTGTATGTCAGTCTTCATAAACAGTCCGTCCAGTCAGTTTGAAATAACAGTATTATTTTGGATGGAACGCAGGTGTCCACAAAGGTTTCTACAGCTATATCACACCATAAATGTAACAAAACACTTGCCTCGTGGCGTATGTGGGGAATTATCTCCTCAGTGAAAAAAAGTAGATTGTGTAAGCAATCAGCAATATGATTCTACTAATCTCAAAAGCACCATCTTCATCACAGATTGACATTAAAATGCTAATTAGGATTCTCAAGATTCTCATGATTTTTCAGGTTATAGAGGCAGGCTAAGCATCTGAGTCACTGTCACAAAGGTTGTGAATTCACTCAGAATGGACGCATTACTGTGGCCATAATCACCACTGTACCTCAAGTACACTGTACTATCTTTCCTTTGGATAAACAACATCTAAAGCTGAAGTATGACACTTGTCAATTAAACACACTTCTTGCAGGTTGCCCAGCGCTCTCTGCTTCTGTTTCCATTGTCGAAGGCAGTGTTGCAAGCAGCCGTAGGCCTTCAGCAGCCAGAAAGAGACTGCCAAAGAGGCCTCCAGGACCCAAAGCTCCTTAGACCCCACATTGGTACCCAACCTCCATGCCTTGTAAACAGAATTGCAATTTCTTTCCATCTCCTCTCTAACATATTCTGCAACACCAAATATAGCCGCCTATTTCCAGCTCCCCAGCTCTAACGCGTATCCTCCCCCTCAGCTGTCTTGCAAAGGGGGCATCTAATCTGCTTTCTTCTTCACCACTCGCTTGCATTGTAAACCGATCCAAGAAAATATGAAGGGAGAGGGTGGAAGGTGCATGGATGAGAGAAAGAGTATAAAAAAAAGAGAATGAAAAGATAGAGAGTAAGGCCGAAAGAGAACGGGGGAGAGGAGAAGATGACCTAATTACAATTGCCCACAGTGTGAACCATCTCCCTTTGAAGAATACGAAAATTGCAAAGAGACAAGGAAAGCCAGACCAGCCATGATGTGTGAAACACACAGAAGAAGAGGAGTGCAGATTGAGCGTGCCTTGTTTTTGAAATCCTTATCACACATTCATATCTACATTTCAGTCAAGAGCACCAGAGGAAAGATTGTTGGCTGTTCCGATGATGTTTCATTCAAAAGGTCTAGCTGTCTCCTAAAAGCTTGAAAACTCTGATGTAAATGTTCTATGTTGTTTAGTGTTCTTCTTTTGAAGAAAATGACCTTGCAGATCAAATGTACCATTGTCAAAATTCATGTTTTGTTTGGATAAGAGGTTTGAAAATAAACAGTGATTCATGTGATTGTCATACTATACAGCTCCGCTCAGGTCACCAAGCAGTTGTTGTTGGAGAACTGAGAATCACGATTTTATAAACTGTACTGTTTATCTTTATAAAATACATGATTTGTAAACAGTTTCCTCATTTTAACAATTCATACCAAGATTTCAAAATTCAACATAACTTGCAGTGAAATGTAAACCTGGTCAGCTACTATATTGTGTTTAAAATATAAACATGATGCATTAAGTGCATTAAATATATTATATTATAGTAATGTTACTGAAATATTCTCCGAATGAATCTGAGAGTTCTGATTACAGATAATACAGATTACAAAATCATGTACATGCTCAACTGTTCTCAAACTCAACTGTTCCTTGGTGGCCTGATGGGGGTCTCCATAATAACTGTGTATGATCAAATGCTATGATATTGCCTCCACCAGACCAAATATGTAGACAGTATCTCCAATACAGGATGAAAATGCTACTGAAATGCTTTTTATGATACAAGCCCATAAAGTACATGCGTGCTTTGATATATTATTTAGACAGACTTTCTAAAGCAGTCAAGAGTAGAGAATTTGAGGTGAGAGAATATGAATGAAAAAATACTAACTTTTATCTATAAGAAATTCATCTAATCTATCTGTTTTTCTACCTCTTTGACCTAATTAGCGGCAAATTCCCTACAACACGTAAAAGTTAATTATCACTTTCCGATGATTCATAAAACTAATTAGCTACACCTTTGAGTAAGGGATGTGAATTCAGTCCAAGCCATAACATCCTCTCAGAATAAGAATGAGTCATTTGAAATAGTGTTTTGTCTTTTTCTGTTGTTGGTGAATCAAGATTCAACCTGAATGCAACAATAACAAAGCCTGCACAGAAAGGATAAATGCATGCATACATGAAGAAGATTTAAGGGGTCCACAACCTTAAGCACTATTGACATAATTATGAACAATAAGAACAAGAGAGGTTCATATTAATTTAAATGTATTTATTTTATTGGTCATCTATTTTTAGATTCATTTTATATTTTTAGATTCATGTCAAATAACCCTTTATTATTAATTATTAAAAAGAAATTATTAAAAAAACTATTTTTATACAACATTTTGTATAAAATGGATATCACCGTGACGTGTATTTTTTAATTATTTAAAATATGAATCAAAACAATTATGAATTCAACTTGGCACACATTATCCTTAGCATTCCACG